CGAGTCCGAGGAGGCCCACTTCTCCCACGTTCGAGTTGCCAAGGACCGGCTTGTTGCGATTAAGACACATTATTCCACTCCCACCCCCGCCTCTCTTGGTCGCCTCTTTCTGCAGTTTCATTTTTCCGACCTAGGAGCGTTTGACCACGGCCGTGTCCACCGTGGATGGGCGGTCCAGGGGTAGGGGAGGTAAGAGAGGGGGGAAGGGTGGTGGCGCTGGTGGTGGTGGCGGGGGTGGCGGAGGCCCTGGTGACACTAGTGCGTGTGGTGGAGGCGACACTGGAGGCGGCCCTGGGCTTGCGGGCCTGACGGGAGGGGGTGCTGGTGCGGTTGCGTGGTACACGGCACAGCGGCAACAGCAGGCCCAGCAGCAGCAGCCACAGCCGGGACAACCGCAGCAGCAGGGACACTCGCAGCAGCAGGGTCAGCGGCAGGTGCAGCAACAGCCTCAGCCGTGGGGACCTGGTGGACCAGGGAGCACTGGTCGTGGCGGTGGTCCGCCCAGCTCGGCGTCGCGTGGTGTCACTCCGCCTCCCTGCCTGTACGTGGTTCAGTCGGGCGGTCGTGCAGGTCAGCGCTGTGGCTGTTTCCACGCAGCATAGCGACCGCGTCCGCGCACAGTTCGGCCTTGGCCCAGCTTGCTCGCTCTCGTGGACTTGCTTTGTGGGACATGTCTGCGGTAGAGTTAGTTGATACTTTGGACTCTGATTCTGTGAGGTATGCTGATGTGGACTATAGTGCTGTTGGATCCGTTTGCTCGCGTGTTCGTAGTTTAGGTTCTTTGCCTGTTGCTAGTGTAGGTGCTTATGCTTCTAGTCTAGGTGCTTGTGTATCTACTAGCCCAGGTGCACCTACGGCTGAGGCGTTGCTTTCTTTAACGCTGGACTCTGGCGCGTCTCAGTGCTTCTTCCGTGACCACATGACTCTCACTCCGCTTTCTGCTCCGGTTCCGGTTGCACTGGCTGATCCTACTTCAGGACCAGTCGTTGCACGCATCTCTACCACCCTCCAGTGCCCGGCTCTCCTATCTGGTGTCCTCTCTGGTCTCTACGTCCCCTCGTTCTCTTAGAACTTGGTGGGTGTTGGATACCTTCAGGATCGTGGGATCACAATCACTTTTCTTGCTATATGAACGGACGCTTCCACCGGGGCGCTTCTTGCCACGTTCACCAGGGAACCCCACTCAGGTCTCTTCGTTCTGCACACTGCGTCCCCCCAGGTAACTACGTCTGGTCAGGTTGCTGCGTCGTGCTCCTGTCGGTCACTCACCCACCCGAGAGTCGTGTGGCACCACCGTCATGGTCACCCGTCCTCCCCCCCTCTCCGCAGCATGGCTAGCCAGCGTCTTGCCACACACCTTTGCGTCGCTCCCTCCTTCGCCCGCGTCGTCGTACACTCCTTGCGTCGAGGGTCGGCTTCGCGCCACTCCTCACTCTTCTTCCCTTCGTCCAGCCACCGCGTCCTTGGACGTCTGGGGCCCCGCCCCTCGTTCTGGGCCCGAGAGGGAGAGCTTCTTTTTGGTGGTCGTTGACGACTACTCCCGTTACACCACGGTGTTTTCCCTAGCAAAGAAGTCCGACGTGACTTCTACGCTGATCAGGTGGTTGCTGGCCACTGAGGCCATTCGTGGTCGTCGACGACTTGTTTTGTGCGACTGCTGACACTGAGGCACTGGCCCTGTGAAGGCGGAGCTGCAGAAGAGACACACCTGCACTGACCTGGGTGAGCTGCGGAGCTATCTTGGCTTGCAGATCACCAGGACAGAGCAGCGCGCACCATCACTTTGACTCAGTCACACATGGTGTAGTAGGTCCTTTATCGCTTCCGCTTTTAGTTCTCCTTGCCACAGTCCACTCCTCTGCCTACGAGCCACATGCTCTCAGCTCCACCTTCGGACAAGTCCGTAGAGCAGAGTGGTCCGTATCCAGAGCTTGTGGGTTGCCTCATGTACCTGATGACGTGCACTCGACCTGACCTTGCGTACCCTCTCAGCATCCTGGCGCGCTACGTTGCGCCCGGGAGACACCGCCCTGAGCACTACAGGGCTGCTACGAGGGTACTACGCTACTTGTGCAGTACATTACACATGGGGCTTGTGCTTGGGGGACCAGGCCGAGTTGTGCTCACTGGGCACTCAGACGCTTCTTAAGCTGACGACCAGGCAACTCAGCAGTCGTCGCACGGCTACACTTTCAGTCTCGGCACTAGTTCTGTCTCGTGGAGGTCCACTCGCTCGTCTTCTGAACTTAGCTCCAGCTGTGAGGCCGATATCTACGTTGGGGCTATCGCTGCACAGGAGTTACGCTGACTGACGTACTTGCTGACCGACTTGGGTGAGCGGCCTCGTTTTCCTCCGGTTCTGTACGTCGACAACAAGGCCATGATTGCCTTGTGTCGGGAGCAGCGACTGGAGCACAGATGGAAGCACATTGCTCTTTGTAACTTTCTTGCACGAGAGTTACAGCAGCGTGGTCAACTTTGTCTTGCTTACGTGGCCTCACAGGCCAACACTGCTGATATCTTCACCAAGGCCCTTGGGTCTGGTGATCATCGGCATTTTCGGCACTGCTCTAGGCCCTGTGCCTAATCTGCCACACTTGCTTACCTCTTGACTTTGCCTTGTAATGTGTGTACAGCGACTGGCCATAGAGGCGGTGAAGACGGCCGAGGCGGAAAGCTAGGAGGGGTCTCCAAGCGCCGTGGGCGGCGAGCGGCCGCTGTGTCGTCGGCAGCTGGGTCATCCCCCTCAGCTGGGCAAGAAGTGTCGGAGGAAACCTCTAACGGCGCAACCAAAGGGGGTGGGTCAACCTAGGACACACCTAAGGGAGCAGGACCCTGCGGGGGGAGGGGGGCTACTAGGGGCAGGTGTCGGGACCCAGGAAGAGAGGCGGGAGGGGTACGGGGGAACTGCGGTGGGGGTGGAGACGGTAGAAGCAGACAGACTCGTCAAAAGTGACGACGCGGGAGGACAGGACACGGTGAGAACCTGGGTGGTAAAACTGCCAGGGCGGGGCGTCGGTAGGAAAGCCAAGGAAGACGCAGCGAAGAGTGCGAGGAGAGAGCTTGTCCGCAAGAGGATCGCGGACAAGAGCAAAGGAACCCCAGACCCGAAAAGCCGACACATCACCAACCTCTCCCGTCCACCACAGAGTAGGTGAGGTCTCCGGGTGGGAGACACGGGGCCAGAGGTTGAGCTGCTGCGCGGCGTATCGGACCGCAAACGGCCACAGGAAATGGGGAGCAGCCACATGGATCATGGAGGTGCGAGCAACCTCCATGACCAAGCCAATGCGGCGCTCTGCAATTCCATTCTGCTATGGAAAGGCCGGAAGCGTGAACGACTGGGTGATGCCCTCAGTACCACAGAAGTCCTCGAGGAGGCGGGAGGAAAACTCACCACCTCAGTCAGAGTGCAGCCGCAGGGCCGGGAGGTCCTGCCGGAACCAAGCCCTCAGCTGGAGACGGACAGCGCGGATCCATCAGATCAAGACACTTCCGACATCCGCCTTGCTCTGCAAGGGGAAGACCGTGGTGTAGCGCGTGTAGTCGTCAACAACCAGCAGAAAGTAGCGCTCTCCGCCCTGTCCAGTGACGCAGGCTGGGCCCCACACGTCCATGTGGAGGGTCTGCAGAGGAGCAGTGGTCGGAGGAAACGAGGAGGAGTGAGGAGCGGCGCGCTGCCGCTCCTCGACGCAGGGAAGGCACGGCTGTGCAAGCGACCGCGGGAGCGGGGGCAGGGACCTGGGGAGGCCAGAGACCAGGAGACGGGAGTGCATGCTACGCAGACGCGACAGGGAGGGGTGGCCAAGACGGTGGTGCCAGAGGAGAGACGGGTGCGTGAGTAACCGACACGAACAAGACGCGGCTACCTGACCCGGCGCAGCTACCTGACCCGACGCAGCCACCTGTGCAGACTTAGTGGTCAGTGTGTACAGGCCAGACCCAGGCCTCTGAGTGAAAGTGGCGAGGTGCTCGCCAGTGCGTGAGTCCGTACAGATCGCCACAAGCTCACCCCCAGGAGTAGTCACAGTGACAAACTGGTCCTGAAGGACAATATTACTCACCAAGTTCTTAGCGAACGAGGGGAGGTGGAAACCTGTGAGGGAGCCGGAGGGGGCTGCCGGACACGGGAGAACAGTGGAGCCACGTGCAACAACTGGGCCACCAGAGGGGTCAGCTAGAGTGACCGGGACGGGTGTAGTGAGCGGTGTGACTGTGGTGCAGTCGCGGAAGAAGCAGCGAGTCACGCCGGAGTCAAGCGTGAAGGTGCGCAAAGCCTCCACAGGGGCTGCACCTGTGCTAGCAGGCTCACATGCACCTAGACTAGCAGCCTTTACACCACCAGCGACTGTCACCTGCTGACACTGCTACGGAAACTGTCCACCCCCAAAACCTCCGCCTCCACCAGCGGCACCACCTGTACGAGCAGACGCACAGGTACCTACACACGCCTCCTTGACCAGCTGCTGCACCTCCCCTAACAACGGACTGGACTGCCGCAGTGGCCGGGTGGTAGGAGAGAGGGAGGAGTAGTTTCTAACCACAAGAGTCTGGGCCAACGTCACCTGACGAAAGTGGGCCCGCTGGTCGACCGGTAGGTGGGCTCAGACGGCAAGCTGTGCGACAGCATCGCGCCCCGACCACTGTGTGCAGGCAACACGGTCCGCTCGGTACTACCGCTACATGTCCTCAACAGCGTCAGCAGAAGGCGCAGTGGGAGTCGTGGGAGCCGGGAGGGACCCCGACGTGTGCTCGAGCAGGGAGATGCCATCTCTAACTAGACGCCGGAGATACCCGTGTAGGCACGCAAGCCACAACTCTAGCCTGAAAGGGCGTCCGTCTGCGTCAACTGATAAGACAGTAATCTGGGCCATGACAGGCAAAGGCAGTTGGTAGTAGGAGTGGTGGCGCCAGCATGACTAAGTCGTGCTAAGGGTACTCGTCGGACTACTAAGGGGGCGCACTCTATGGGCTCGTGACGAGCAGAAAACGGGCAGCAACTAGGGCGGCAGGAAGCGGCAGCGCCGAAGGCAGGAGTTGCGCGTGGGCAGGGCAATAGCGGGCGGGCAGAGCAGGCGCGCGGGGGCAGGGCAGTCGTTCGCGCGCGGGGCAGGGGAGTCGCGCGCAGGCAGGGCAGGCGTGCGGGGCAAGGCGCACGCGCGCGGGCAGGGCAAGGCAGCCGCGCGTGCAGGGCAGCAGCGCGGGGAAGGGCAGGCGCACGGGGCAGGGCTTATGCGCGCGGGCAGGGCAGGGCATTTGCGCGTGCAGGGCAGCAGCGCGGGGCAGGGTAGGCGCACCGGGCAGGGCTCACGCGCGCGGGCAGGGCAGGGCAGTCGCGCGTGCAGGGCAACAGCGTGGGGCCGGGCAAGCGCGCGGGGCAGAGCGCACGCGCGCGGGCAGGGCAGGGCAGTCACGCGTGCAGGGCACCAGCGCAGGGCAGGGTAAGCTTGCGGGGCAGGGCGCACGCGCGCGGGCAGGGCAGGGCAGTCGCGCGCGGCGCGGGCAGCGAGCAGGCAGCGCGCTGGGCAGAACAGTCGCGCGCGGGGCAGAGCAGGCGCGCACGACGCGGGCAGCGTGCAGGCGGCGCGCTGGCAGCGTGCGGGCAGCAGGTGACGCGAACAGCGTGTAGACGGCGCGCTGGCAGTGTGCGGGCAGCAGGCGCGAACAGCGTGCAGGCGGCGCGCTGGCAGCAGGCGACGTGGGCTGCAGGGCGCGTGGGCAGCAGGCGCGCGCGGGCTGCATGGCAGCAGGGCGCACGCGGGGCGCAGGGCAGTGAGGGGCGCTGGCAGCAGGGCGTGCGCGGGCAGCAGGGTGCACGCGGGCAGCAGAGGCCCCACTGCCTGCTCCTACTCCTTACACTGCGGTGACAGAGTCCCTGACTGAGCGTCGAGAGCCTGAGACTCATGCTTCCACTCCTGAGCGTTGAGAGACTGAGACCAGAGCTTCCGTTCCTGCTCGTATTCGTCGTGTGCGTCGTCCTCGTGCTCCAGTTGTCCCAGGCACTCACGATATGACACTCCGTCCTTCCTTTGTTCCACAGCGTGTTGTCCTCCCGTCACCTCCTGCATCTTCTCTTCCTGACGTTGCTGACCCTCCGTCTGACCTTGCTCGTGCTTCCAGTCCGACTGTCACTCGCTTTATTGCTACAATTAGGACTGACCCTACGTTCTCGTCTCCTGCTGCGTCTGCCTTAGTCACTGAGCTAGTTGACTTTGCTGCTGCGTACTGCCTAGACTACCTTGCGAGTCTTGTTTCTGACCCTGACCCTGCCTGTCCTCCGTCCGTCGGGGGTGAGGTTGCCCTCGGCTGTGACGTTCTTGAGGACAGGCAGGAGGAGCTGGAGTGCCTTGCGGCCGCTGTACCTCATCTCGCTGCCATGCTGCTTGCCCCTGAGGGAGACCCGGATGCACTTGACATCCCCACCCCGCGCTCTTACAGAGAGGCGATCTCGGGTGAGTACTCCTCTCAGTGGCAGACAGCCATGGACGAAGAGATGGCTTCCTGGAAGTCCACAGGCACCTACGTCGACGAGGTTCCCCCACCTGGGGCGAACATCGTCAGTGGCATGTGGATTTCAGGGTGAAGCGGCCGCCGGGTTCTCCGCCTGCCTTCAAGGCACGTTACGTTGCTCGAGGCTTCAGTCAGTGTGAGGGGGTCGACTTCTTTCATACCTTCTCCCCCACCCCGAAGATGACCACTCTTCGGGTGTTGCTACACGTTGCAGCTCAGCGTGACTACGAGCTGCACTCCCTCGACTTCTTGACAGCTTTCTTGCAGGGTAGCCTTCACGAGGCCATCTGTCTGCGCCGTCCACCTGGCTTCACTGGGTCGTTTCCTGAGGGTACCCAGTGGAGCCTACGGCGGCCAGTGTACGGCCTGCGTCAGGCACCTCGCGAGTGGCACGACACACTGAGGACGACACTTGCGGCTCTTGGGTTTGCTCCTTCGACTGCTGACCCGTCGCTGTTTCTGCGCACCGACACTACCCTGCCGCCGTTCTACGTTCTCGTGTACGTCGACGACTTGGTTTTTGCTACTGCTGACACGGAGGCGCTGGCCCTAGTGAAGGCGGAGCTGCAGGAGAGACACACCTGCACTGATCTGGGTGAGCTGCGGAGCTATCTTGGCCTGCAGATCACCCGGGACAGAGCACGGCGCACCATCACCCTGACTCATTCACACATGTTGCACCAGGTCCTTCAGCGCTTCGGCTTGCAGTACTCCTCGCCACAGCCCACTCCTCTGTCTACTGGCCACTCGCTCTCAGCTCCACCTTCGGACGAGTCCGTAGAGCCAAGTGGTCCGTATCCAGAGCTTGTGGGTTTCCTCATGTACCTGATGACGTGCACACGACCTGACCTCGCGTACCCTCTCAGCCTCCTGGCTCGCTACGTGGCTCCTGATAGACACCTGCAAAGAGGGTACTGCGTTACTTGTGCAGTACATCGGCATGGGGCTCGTGCTTGGAGGACGGGGTTCAGTGGTACTCACCGGACACTCTGACGCTTCTTGGGCCGACGAGCAGGCGACTCAGCGTTTGTCACAGGGTTACACCTTCAGTCTTGGCTCTGGTTCTGTCTCGTGGAGGTCCAATCGTTCTTCTTCTGTGCTTAATTCCAGTTGTGAGGCCGAGATCTACGCTGGGGCCATGGCTGCACAGGAGCTACGGTGGCTGACCTACCTGCTGACCGACTTGGGGGAGCGGCCTCGTTCTCCTCCAGTTCTGTACGTCGACAACAAAGCAATGCTTGCCTTGTGTTGCGAGCAGAGACTGGAGCACAGAACAAAGCACATTGCTCTTCGCTACTTCCTTGCGCGTGAGCTGCAGCAGCGTCGTCAGCTCTGCCTTTCCTACGTGGCATCGCGGGCCAACACTGCTTATGTGTTCACCAAGGCCCTTGGGTCTGGTGATCATCAGCGTTTCTGCACTGTTCTTGGGCTTGTGCCCACTCTGCCTCATCTGCTGGTTGGTTGACTTGCAGTTATTGTACACTGATGTATATCTTTATACCTGCATGTTTACTCTTGCTAGGTTGTGATCAGTGTACTGCCTTGCTAATATAACTCTGCATGTGAACTGACCTTGTGGCCGCTTGCTTGTGCTCAGATTGTGTGGTGTCCTTGAGATCCACCCTGAGCTTTGCTTTGCTTTGTTCTCTTGCTTGACTGGTCTTGTGACCATCTGGTTGTCCCCCACTTAGCCTGTGGGGGTGTGTCAAATTGTATTTGTGCTTGCTACTAGGCTATCCTGGGGTACACCATAAGGGGTACAACCCGAATTAGGTCTAGTACTTGTATCTCATCTCAATCCTAGTCAATCATTACTGCACAGTTGATTATGACATTAAGATGTGATTTGATATTTATTTATTGTATAACTTGCAAACAGGGCTTAAAACAATGAACCAGACAGGTGCCTGATAAAAATAGCCCCATGAAAGAAAAAAATGAGATTTCCGTAACGGAAACATATGTACACCTCCAGGGAATTTGTGCGAATATCAGCTTTCAAGCCAACAGCTTCACCAGTCCACACCACAGTTCGATCCCTGCTCGCAGGAGGCCCACCGTGTAAGGCGGCTTGAGGCTGAACCCTGGTTCATGGCCCGACCGCCATGGCTGCTGCTACGGCGGCTTCTGCCACGCCCTTTCTGATTGCCCATCTTAGGCACTGAATGCGCGCGAGTGGCTGTGCTGAGATGTGACACTGAATGCCTTTCTCTGCCCAACTCCCTCGAGTCATGTCGCCATTCATCCTCGTCACTCTCGCCTTCCTTCAGGAACGACTGTAACATGGTAACAAACTGTTCGCATCGAATCGCATTGAGTTCGCGCTGTGCGTCCAGAAACGAGATCCGACCTTCCAGCGCGAGCAGATCGAGATCCGCGCGGCTGTCGTGCAGGCGTCGTAAGGAGGGAATGTCGTTCTGAGACATGGCCAGAACAGCAGGCGATTGCTGAGAAGACACGGCACGCTGAGAGTCGACCATCACGTCGTTACGGCTCCCCATGTTTAGAACGATTCTGTTGGGGCGACTGAACGTGCTTCGTGTCTCTTGGTATTGCGAAAGCAGTCGAGCGACGCGAAAGGCTTATCGAAACTATGAAATGCAGGTCGAACAACCTCGCTTTATTGCCATCTGGTCCAGCTCACTCATTCGGACCAGCTCGGATGGACATGACGAGACTAGCAAGCACTTTGCATCCAGGGTACCCTGAGTTCGCACGGCGTAATAGCACTATTCCAAATTAATCCCGCTTCGACGCTGGAAAATCGCAGATCGCGGCGCAATGAGCCTTACGGTTCGACTAAACTTCGAGAAGGTCGGACCACAGGCAAGGAGCAAGTACAAATCCCATGAATCCGCGTAGGAACATCACTGTAAGGATTGGTAACATATGAGCCTCAAACATCGGATCCTCCCACGTCAGCACCAGCCTGTGACCGTCAGCAAAAGCTCTGAGGGCGTGAATAATAGGTTTACGGAACTGGTGTGATCTTCGGTACTCTGCTTGCTTAGGGTTCCGGTAGTCGCGAATCTCTGCTTGTGGTTTAGGAACCACTTTTAAAGTCATTGAGAATTGCAACCCAGGAATCGACACACCCTGTGTTTAGAAGTAGGAAAACCGGCAGTTGTGTTTCCAGGATACTTCCGATCGCACTCGTCCCATCTTCTCCCCACGTGATGCCGCACTTGTATCAATCTTTCCTCGTCAGCCGTCTTCCTCGCCGCCATAGCCAGTACCCCATTGGCTTGTCGAAGCGGATGAAGAGGGACGGAGTGTGGTTCGGGAAGGGATTGCGTTGTGCATCAAGGATTCATGGCTTGTCGGATGGCGCAAGGAAGAGAGAAGATCAAGTTCTCGCACGATACGTCGCTGATTTTTACCAACCGAAACACGTGTACTAGTCTTAGCCCGTGAAATATCCACGGCTCTGGACTAAGCTGCATACGTGATTTGCCTCCTGTCCAGCCTGGCGTCGTGGAGAAGATGCTTCCAGAATGCATTTTACAGCAAGGCAATCCGGGGCACGATATTCACCGTCACGACCTCCCCTCCATGGAGCTCACTCATGACTTCACCATCAAGGCAGACAGAATCGAGGTCATTGCAACCCGCAGCCTCATGTGAGCGGGGCGGCTCCCATCAGTAACTCGAGGGAGGCACTTCTTTCACTCAACAGAGCCTCTATTTCTGAGCTTCTTTCACTTCTCCCATCAGGCACTTCTGTATCAGAGTACCCCCAGCAGCACTGTAGTACAGCCCCCCAAGAAAACGGAGAGACTGGCTGCGAATCAATCCGATCACAACTTGACATTTCAGCTGCCCCCAAAATGTCCAAATCACAGGCGACCTCGCACGGATCTGCTGTGAGACACGGAAGTAACCAGGGAGACCAACATTGCCGATGGCCCAGTGGGAATGATTTGATTTGAGTGTATCGACAACGAACTAATATACTCTATACTAACATTCCATTCCACTCCACCCCAAAATGATAACAATGCATTTCAGCATGCATACTATAAGGAAAAATCCTTTTCCTTACTTCGCGTCCCTACTTACCGCATACATGACTGTTCCCGCCATAGTACCCCAACGGTAATCCGTTACCACCTCGCCACACTCACCTCGACCAATGTTCTCGCCATTGTTCCCGTCGCGCCCAAACCTCAAGACTCGGCTGGTAACCCGCGCTCCGGTCCTCCGCCTCAACAAATCCCAACATTGGCGCCAGGCCCATCGCGCACCCTACAAATCACGCTTTTTTTAACAATTCGCTCATGCCTTCGCTCGTTGTACTGTTTTGCTTCGATAATGCAATTCTCGCTCGCTCACTCAATTGCACTCGTAACACTTGGTATCAGAGCTACGGCCCACTACCCTGTTCGGACCGCGCACACACCTTCGCTTCCTACTTATCACTTTTTTTTGGGGGGGGGGGGAGGGGGGGGTGTTAGAATGTGAAACAGCGGAATGAATGAACTAGGCAGCAGGGTGATATACATAAGAAACCATTGAAATGTACCCTATAATGTGCACCTCACTGCAGCCTAACAAACCT